TTTACAGATGAGAGTACATTTCAATTATATACATCAAAAAAAAGGTTTGGCAGTTTCCTGGTAGAAAAAAAGTGTTTTGTTCTGTTAAGCATCCACCAAAAGTTCATGTTTTGGGATTTTTTTCTGCTTCTGGATTTAATAAGCTATTTTGCTTTCAAAGGAACCTTAATGCTGAATTTATATGTACTATTTATGAGCAGGATCTTCTGGCTTTCACCTCTAAATTTTTTGGTGAAGGTAACATAGATTGGATCTTACAAGAAAATAATGATCTAAAGCATCGATCGAAAATCGTGAAAAAATGGAAGGAAGAAAATGACATTGAGGTACTTTCTTGGCCATCAATGTCTCCAGACCAAAACCCTATAAAAAACGTTTGGAGGTTAATGAAATTAATATACAAAAAAAAAAAATTTGATCAATTAGAGGGTTAAAGGGAGAACTTACAAAAGAATGGAACTGATTATCACCTATACTTGCTGCAAATTTGGTAGCTAGCATGAAAAGGCATATAGCTGTATTTATAGAGTCAGATGGTAACTACACAATGTATTAATTTTAGTTAGTTGATTATTTATTTTTTAAATAAAAAAAAATTTTGAATTTACTTACTTGTAGCCAGAGTTAGAGGCAGTCGAATACTTATGATCACTACTGTAAGGGTAAAGTCAAAAATAATCTATAACTACTCTTATCTCTGTTTTATCTAAATTTCAGTTTAAACTACCAATTAGTTCTTTTATTTCCTCTTCAATTAAAATGTTGTTTTGATTTGTCATTTTATTATTATTCTTCTTTTAATATACATATTTCCTTTTTATGAGAGCATATTGAATATATAAATTATTTTAATACTTTTTTATTTTAAAAGTGGAAAAAACTAACAATATTTGTCAAAAGATTAAACTTATTAAACTTAATGACAGTAAAGGACAAATTAACAAGTGTGATAGGGTAATAAAGGTGTTTTTGTTCTAAATATTTTATTTGTTACCAGTATAGAATGATCTTGGACAAGTAATATCTTTGTATTCATCTTTCACAAATAGGCAAATATTCTGGTAAAGATATTCTTGTCTTTTGTAATCCAAAGGAGAAGGTGTTAACACTAAAATAGATAAAGTTCTAATTTCTTCAAAAATATCTACTCTCTTAATTTTCAATAAATTGAATTCAACAAAAGGTCCATTAGTAATTTCTTGAACTTTTACTATACCAAAATTAGATGCTTCAAAAAGAAAATGTTGATATTTCTGAATGCTTGGTAATTTTTTAAAATAAATTCCTAAAATTGCTTTAATATCTAAGTATTGAAAATCTTTTCCATCTTCATAATACTGAGCTTTATTTAAATCTGCTGGATAAGACTTTTTTATCACCTCAACCACATGATTCAGGCAATCTACTTTTGTTCTCTTGTAGAGTTTTTTAATCATCCTAAAATTACTATCATATTTAAATTTAATATGTTTAGAAATCATAAAATTTAACTTAATACTTTTATAATAACCACAAATTATTAAATACAAGTAAAATCAAATAGTGGTATTATTTTTATTTTGTTTATCTGCATTATCACAAGTAATCTTTAAATGTTTTTTATCTTTGTCTAATTTTTTAATTCTATCAAAAATCATGCTAAGTATACCATTTGGTCCTTTTCCTATAATTTCATTTTTATTAAGAACATATTAATTTATTTTCTTATTACTTCGTCTTGAATATCAAATAAATGAACTTTACATGAACTAAGGTAATAGATTTTACTTACTTATTGATCTAAATGTAGTATATGAACATTTTGGGCTCAATAATAACTATAATGAGCAATAGTATCAATACTATAATATTGTGTTTTACCCTTTAAATAATTTTAATCAACTAATTTTCTTTGTTCTTCTATTAATTTAGTGTTTTTATTATAATAATTTCTTTTTAATCTTACTTTAGACAGATATTCTTTAAATCTTTTGAGTAAATTTTTAGCTTCTTTCTCTTGGCGATGTAAACCATCTCTAAAATGTTGACAAGTATTACATAAATCAGTCTTGAAGCTCATAATTTGAATTTTTAGTGTTAATTGATGTCATAATTTTCTGAAAGTATCATATTTTAAGGATTTCAATTTGTTATCTTCTTCTAGACCAGCTAAAAAATCTTTGTGGACTGACTTATAACTCATTTTAGCTGGTAAAAATATAACTGATTGAGTTATTTTATTAATACTTTTTCCTAGACTTGATAATCTATGAACTTCAATATAATTTTCAAGAAAGTTTTTACTACTTTTGCAACACTTTTATCAATCATCATTTTGGTTTTCCATTGAGATATTCTTTTAATATTACCATAAATTTTTGGTAAAAGATCACTGCTTATTAGGTAATTTCTGATATTTTCAAAATAAGTTTTGCCAATTCCTAACATATTAAAATAGTTTTTTGATAAAGAAGTGTATTGTGATTCTATTGATAGAAAATCCTTTTATTTGATCTGGTTTTCTTTTTAAGACATCTGCTGATGCTTGTTAACCTACCATCTATTGCCTTAAGTTAGGCCATTAAAAATATGTCTTGTTCTATTTTAAAAAGAACTTAAAAGGATTCTCTTAATTCTGCAAATTCTTTCTTGAGAATTCTTGAAAAACAACTACATTTACAGCCTTTTTCTAAAAAATTAATTGCTTTTTGATATTCATTAGAATCATTATACTTATTATTACTTTTCATATATACACTTATTCCTATATATAGTTTTATAATTTTTTTGTTCACTTTGTAGGTTTTTTTAAATATTTTAATAATAAAACAATTAATTGTCCTTTATTTATAAAAATTTTCTACTTATGGAAAAATAATAATTTTTTTAATTGAACATTGAATTCTACATCATAGAAAATATACAAAATATCATTTAAAATATTGTATATCTAATGTAAACATGCATAACTAATACAAATAAATGATGTTTAATGAGAATTATTATTTCTTATTATTTCAATCTCTTTTTCTTCAATATTTTCTCATTATAAACAAGAGGCTGCATATGATGAATAATCTTTTTCTTATTTTCATTTTTAATCAATTTCATCAAATTTACAGATGATATTCGTAAATTACTCAATGATTTTTCAAGTTCAAATGTTTCATCTTCCATTTTCAAATCCAGACAACTATATAACTTTCTAGTCAACCCAAAAAGTACAACAGATATTTGATTTCTATTTCTTGTTAATAAAACCTCATGATTATGTTGATCAATACTAATTTGCATATATAATGACAAATATGGTAATTTAAAATCTTTAAAATCTTCTATTTCCATATATTCAGGTGTAAGCTTAAGAGTAGTTTCTATTTTATATGATGTCTTTTTTGAGTGATTTTTCACTTGTACCAATATGAATGTAACATTATTTAGATGTAACTTTCCATTAATCAAAACTGGAATAATTAAATCAGCACCTTTCTGGAGTTCTTTATAACAAGCTGCAACTCTATGTTTAGCAAACTCAAGTAAGTTAAGTTTTATTAGGGTATATGTGATTTTAACAAAATGATTGAAATGAATCCATCCATTTGTTAAGTCAGTATTTTCTATTTTCTTCCATATATCTTCAAAAACTTTATTAACAACTAGGGATTTCAAATAGTCAAAAATCCTCATTGGTTCTGCAAACTTTACACTCAAAGAAGAGAGACGAGTGGCTGCATGTTTATCCTATACCATTAATATAATTAGTTGAGCTATAATCTCACCATAATATCCATACAAAACAGATACCTTTCTGATTCTCTGAACAAGATAGTTAAGAATGTCATTAATTCTAACATTATCCTGATTCATAATTGCTACTGCTGCTATAGCCAAAAGAGGTTCAGATGGAGATTGTTTAATAACTGTTTGACAATCTTCAGATACATACATCATCAAATACATATAGTTTGAAATTAAAGTAGTTGCAAACTTAGATTGAGGAGAAATATCAAGCTGGATGCGTGAACTAATAATGGAAATAGCTATATTAAAATTTAGCTTTTCTGATTGAATAAATCTTAGTTTAGACATAGCCACTTTTACCAACCTATTAGGATAATCAGGATCATTAGATGATGATAACTGAGCATACCATAAAGGTCTGCTAAACTGGAAAAAATAGTTACATTTTGCAGTTTCATCTAAAGTATCTGGTGTCAAAGCTCCAGGAGGGACCGTCCCTGTTACACAAAATTTCCAAATCTAGTAATGAGACGATGCATTAATCAACCAATCGAAATCGTGATTTTTGAAATGAAATCATGTGATTTAAAAAGCCCATCATATTAAATTATTAATTAATCAAGAAATTAAATCATAAAAATATATTTATTACGCATAATGTAAATAATTAATTGAAATATATGTATAAATATATAAAAATTTTACATTTTTAAAAATAATTCTTTTGTGTGTTC